GAGAGAGAGAGAGAGAGAGAGAGAGAGAGAGAGAGAGAAAAGGCGAGCGGGGTGCAGGGGGAGATGGAAGGGCCAGAAGGAGACGGATCGAAAGGGACGTGAAAGGGGTTTGGAAGGTGGGTAAGAGAGAGTTCTAGTAATCGAGAGGGAGGGATAGAGGGACTGTCTCGCCTAGCCAGGTTCAACCTGGGGTAGATCGACATGGAGAGTGAAAGGGAGGGTGATGAGAAGGAGAAGGAGACAGGTGCGAACGACAGGGCGAGTGGTGGCGAGGACGCACTCAGTCTGGCTCCAGTTGACAAACCGTGCAGGTCGGACTCAAGTGAAAACAAACACGACGACCAGCTCAAACTCCGGTGGGACAGTACTCACAGCACTACCAATCCTTCAGGCGCGGTGAGGGGATTAACAAGCCATAGCCATGGCGATGGTCATCAGTCTATTGAGGATAACGGCCATATGAAGAGGCGTAGTTGGATGGGAAGAATTTGCCAGTTCCGGAGGGACGGCGTCTTCGTGTACGAGGGCTTGTTTATCCTGTCGGCCCTGGCAGTGTATAAATTTTACACGTGGGATATGGTGCTATCGTGGTGGCCGGGTGTGTACAGGTCAGCCGTCGCCTCCCGGCGGCCACCGCCGACCTTTGTCCCCTGCGACGTGGATTGGCTAGCTTTCCGTTTGCACTATCCCAATCCCGATCCCGACTACACGTGGAATCACACGACTGGACTTCCGTCCGCATGTTCCGCTGAGAGTCGCGCACGGCATGACGAGGATGATCTTCCGTCGGGGTCCCGATTCTTCCTAGGCAAGTTCTTTCTCAGAACAGCCCGACGGTCGACGCAAGGTCGCGATAGCGACGTGGAGAGTGGTGGCGGAGATAGCGAGCACGTGGCGAGCGGGTCCTTCCCTCCGGCGGAGCAGCAGCAACAGGTGCCGCAGCCGGGGAAGGAAGGGGAAGGGGAGGTGGTTCAGGATGTCCAGGTCCCTCACGTCGACAGTTTCTTGATCACGAAGGAGCTCCTCTCGAGAATGGTCAGTAACGGTAGCATCATCGTCTTGACCCTCGGGAACTCTGCGTGGGAGGATTTCATCTTCAATTGGGTGATCTCTGCCAACCGGGCGGGCATGGGTAATTACTTGGTGGTGGCGATGGACGAGCCTCTGCTGAGGACGCTTCACGGGCGAGGGATTCCGGTTGCCAAGTCGAGACTGGGGTTTTTCGGCCCCGATGCGGCTGCATGGGGATCCCCACAGTTCAAGGAGATGCAGAAGTTCAAGCCAGCCTTGATCATCGACGTGTTGGAAGCCGGATTCGATGTCCTGATGGCCGATGTGGACCAGATATGGTTCAGAAACCCCTTCCCCTACTTCCTCTCCCATCCGGAGCCCGACATTCTGTGCTCCACCGACTGCCCCGTTGCTTTGCTCGATTACGGTTTCCTGCAGAAGACGGGTTGGCTGGATGCCGTTGATCCTGGCCCTTGGCCGCCGTGCGACGGGGAGAGGTACCACCTGAACGTGGGTCTCATGTTAGTCAGGCGACGGGAGGCTTCACTCCGGCTGCTCCGTGAGTGGGCCTCCAGACTGTCTGGTGCCAATAGCGAAGCGTGGGATCAGCAGGTGTTCAACGACATGTTGAAAGTGATTCTCCCATCTGCTACCTCGAAATTGGTCCTCCCTTCAGGCATCTACTATCATCTTTTCGACGGCCTGCTACTGCTTGGTGCACTCCCTCAGGGTCTCTTCGTCAACGGCTTATCCTTCTTCTACAGCGGGCTTCCTCTCCCTTCGCCGGTTCCCCCGTCTGGCTCCAGCTCAGTAGAACCTGGTCTACTTGGGAGAGCTCCTCCTCCTCTTCTTGCCCCTGGAGGACGAACCTCAGGGTTGGAACCAGGACCCGATGCAGCATCAGCATCCGGTAACGGTTCCGTTACCGTAACTGATGCTAACGGAACAGCAGCGGATGCAGAAGTAGTTGGCCCCGGCAACAACATAGACGAGGCCTTTAGCCACCGTTTTCCCACGCCGTATGTGATGCATGCGACCTACACAGTGGGCGGACACAGTGTTAAGAGGATGCGGCTGAGGGACTGCGCTCTCTGGGACATGGACCCTCCTTCATATCTGTTTCCATCGGAGAGGGGTTTCTTGCGCTACCAACAGGTGATTCCAGACGAACGGCTGGACGAAGCAGCCAGCGATCCCGAGAGGAACCTCAGCTTGCGAAGGCTGCAGCTGGGATGGCTGCGGGACGCTCTCGCCATCGCCTTCGTGCTGGACAGGATCCTCATCATGCCCACTCTGTTCGGTGATTGGCCGCTGTGTTGCGGAGTGGACATGAGGCAGGGAAAAGTGGCGGGGGTTCGACCTCGGGGCTGGACTGATTACGTGTTAAACATAGGGGCAATGGACGAAAATGGAGATGGAGAGTTGATCCGAGGCAGTGATTTCTTGAGCAGTCGCTGGATTAGTCAAGATATACGGCGATCTAGGCTGAGCGTTGCAGTCCTGGAAGAAGAAGAATTGGCATCACTTTCTCCTCCTCTGACGCATTCCACTCCCAGAGTGGGAAGGCCGGGCAACGGGACGGAAAAGGAAGGTAAGGAGAAGGTCATGGACAGTGATCCTGACGGCGCTGACATAACAGTCTCACGGCCGTTTGATAGAAAGCTTCTGGAGGTCGCGGGGACGAYGAATCTCACTGGTGAGCTGTCTGATGACTCCCTTTACTGTGTCAATGGCAGTCYCTTGGCGTCGGAGGTTGGGATGGAGAAGGCGACACGCGTAAAGATTACACGTAATATGACGGACGTCCAGGTGGCGTCTTGTTTTGGACCGTTTGGCCATGTCAAACTACTAGAGTTTTCGACCATGGATGAGGTGTTTGGAGGATTTGTCAATGTCTCGGACAGAGATCTTTTCGTGAGTAAATGGGGAAAATATGCGAGAGGATTCCCAGACGATAACGTGGGACTTCTCGACTCGTTCCTTGGTTAGAGAAATGGGAGGCCACGTGGCGCAAACCCAAACGCTCTACAGTTCCTGTGCTTCGTCCAGCACTTGGCGTACGAACTGCAAATGGTACGCCGAGACGTTCATGAATGACAGGGGTTGATGACGTCGATGACACGTCGCGTGTGTCATCCTGCCACGTGTCGCACACTCAACGCCCTGCTGTATATCAATCCGAAGGAGATGAACACATCCGCGTTCAAAGAGTGCATGGGACGCCAACACATTCCCAGAATATGGCTAAGGGAAAAACTTGGCGAGTTTAAATATGGTAATGGAGGGTTGATTACGTGGATGATGACACGTGTGTGTAATACTTGTGGTACGCGACGTGTCACGGAACCGATGCTCGTCACACACTCAATGCCTGCCACACAGTCAATGCTCGTCACACACCCACTCCCCCGCTGCGTATCCGGTCTCAGGAGATCAAGACTTTGGGGTGATTACTGTGTAGGGTGGTAATCAAGACTTGAAAGCTTTCATCTCCTGCGACCTGATATGCAGTGGGGCACGCACAATGCCTCACGTGTAATAAATACTTGTGGTCGCACAGTCAGTGCTCGTCACACACCCAAGGCTCCAGTGTATTATGGTCGTAGGATATGGGCACTTTCGCGGGTTAACTGTGTTTTGTGCACCAAGATCTTCCCAGACGTCACTTCTGCTTGCAAAGTGGCTTGATTAGGTGGATGGCACGAGTCATACTTGTGGTAAGCCACGTGACATGCACCCAACATTCGTTGCTCGTCACAGACTAAATGGTTGTCCGACCCCCAATGCCCCCATGTATCTAAGGTCTTAGGATATGGGCACTTTCGCGTGTTAATTGCGTATGGTGCAGCAAGACGTTCCCGGACATCACTTTCGCTTGCCAAATGCCTTGATTAGGTAGATTACACGTGTCACACTTGGGGCAGGTTATGTGACACACACCCAGTGCTGGTCCCTGGGACAGGGGTTGCTCATCTACAGCGGACCTGTACGGCGACGACGACCGGCACAGAGCTATTTGCCAGCATGAAATCCTTCTGCGCCGGCCATAGCAGGCCCAGCATGGCAACACGTCTGCATCAGCAATAGCAGGTCATGAAGTGCTGATCGCGACAGAGGTAATGATGAAAGCAACGCCATGAACAACGACCGCCGGGGTGGTGAGCGCGACGGGTCTGAGTTTTAAATCGTTTAATAACAGCCCTTGATCATCAACTCACACTTTCAAAAGTGTTGGTTCAGGAAGTGCTTTGTTCCTTTTGTGACGTTGGTTCAAGTTGAACTTGGTTGGGCAGGAGGAGATGAACCCGTGGATTGGGCAACCAGTAAGTAGGTCCAGCACCTTTACCATATGTTGGTGGGGGGCATTGCGTGCCTACCCGAAAATCAACACTGGCCGCCGATTCCATCTATCGGCTTCCGCCCTTCCGTTTTAGGCCAGCGCAAGGGCGTTGGCCGCCCTTCCGTTTTAGGCCAGCCCAAGCCCATTACCCGGCGCGCCTCTGAAAAAATAGCTTGGAAAGGTACTGGTGGTTTAAATGATTGTCCCCCCTCTGGACGGTATTTTGATCATCCCGCTCTGGTTATCTTCCGGATGGCATTTTGATCATACCGCTCTGGTTATCTTCCCTCCGCTCCACCCTTCACTGCTCTGCATGTTGCTGCTTATGGTGCTGGCAACGCATCTTCCTTCTTCCCTGATGGACCATATCTGGGATAACAGGGGGGGGGGTGCATAACATTCCCCAGTTGTTGAGAGGGGAGAGAGGGGGTACTTTCGATCTTTCCTCTCCCTTCCAGTTTCTTTCTCAGCCTGCAAACTGCGGGGGAATGATCTGGTTTTCTCTCAGTCTGGTCTCAGTTCATCATGACTTCATCTGATTCTTTTGATTGATTTTATCTGACTGGAAAATGAAGTGCTTTAACCTGCTCGGATTTCATTTCCCCGCTTGTTTGTTTTGATTTTGATTTGACTGTTTTGATGATTTCGTATGAATGATCTGACTTCATTTGGTTCGATCTAAATTGGTGTGATTCTGCTCTGGGGTGCTTCGGTTAAGTTCGGTAGACCTCATTTTCTCTTGTTTGATCTCATCCGTTCTGATCGGATTTGGGGAGGCGCCCTCTAGATTCACCAATGCATGACTTCTTCCCCCCTCCGACTTCCACGCCAACACGTGTTAACGGAGGTGGAGGAGTGCAAATATAGTTTAGGTTCTCCTTAGTGAAAAAGGGGCCGGAGGAGCATCACCATAAGTAGGCTAGGGGTTGTAGTTGTAGGCGGGCCCCTTCTCGGATCATGATCTAATCCCCTAGTACAAGGGCAATCAATGTTGCTCATCACGACACGTAACATATTTGACATTGGTTCCTGTTGTGTTTGTAAATGGGATGTTGGACTTGCTTTCCAGTCGGTGCAGCTCACAACCAATAGATTGGAGCCATCTTGTATTGGCCCTGTTGGGGTCCTATTGGTGGAGGATGCTCCTATCACCTCCACTAATAGGGTCCTTACAGATGTTAAAATTTAAATAAAATTAAAAAAAGTGAGTGATTGCGTTTTTTTTTTTCAACGTGTGGGTAAGGGGCAGGGGCAAGAAGGGTTGACTTATGAAGTTATGATGGCAGGAAACCTTTCAATCTAAGTTCATGCTTCAAAGAGAGGAAACTAAGATTTACTCTTCTATAGTTTTTGAGTAGTGGGTAAACAAGCAAGCTGGATAGATTACCCAAGATTAGTCACCATTTTTGCTGAATGGGACCGAAAGACACAAAATCCTGAGTAGATATGATCTGTAGAGGGTTCAGGTTTGAAAAATAGGGGAAACTACTATGCGGGAGTCACAAAAATGAGTTATAACTGCACTATGGGCCAAGATACAGTTTCAAATTGCAGTTTGGGCAATGTATACAACCCAGCTTTCTGGCCAGGTAGGGTGCCCGAAGTGCCATTGCAAAACTCTATCTTGCCCCGTAGTGCAACGATAACTCGTTTTTGTGACTCTATTGAAGTTACCCCTAAAAAATGCCTTTGGTTCTTCATAGTGGAGAGGCACTTGACTGATGGTGGCATGCATGATGTCAACACACGAGTTCCCTGACATTCTCAGTTGCAAATTCTTCCGTATGTTCTTAGCACAGTTAAATTAAACAAGGAATTGGTAAAAAGTGGACTATTTCTAAAAACTGGACTTCACAGTTTCTTGCATGCAAAACTTCACAGTTTTTGAACTTTTTTTAATGCAAAACTTCAGAGTTTTTTGCATGCAAAATTTGTAGAATGTTATTTTTTTATGAAGGAAAAAAAACAATTGGAAAGTTTGTTAGACAAAAATATTATGTAACTCAAATGGCAACAACATCCTTTCAGCATTGTCAAGCATAAAGCCCCAAAAATATTTATTTTCTAAAATGTTTGGTACAAATCAAGAGCAAAAATATTTATCTTCTAATTGCAAATTGTGGTTGGCGGCAACCAGACTTGAACCTTGCACCGCTGACATGGAGTGCCGTGAGGAGTGACCATAAAAGAGAGCTGCAGGGTGGATCACTATAAGTGGAGGCTGCACCTATTGGAAAATGTTATGCAAAAAAATAAACTGAACAAAACTTTTGCCTCAGGGTCAAATCAAAATTCCTTACCAAGTTACCAAAAAAAAAAAAAAAAAGAACCTTTGTTTTTCTTACCAAAAAGAAAAATCAACGGGTATTGCCTCTGGGCCATTAACAACTGTTTTTGTTTTTCATTTTTTCTAAAAAATAAATAAATAAATGGGGCTGTAGAGCGCCAAGAGCCTTACAACTTACAACCCCATTTATATATAGTCAAACAGAGCTGCCCGCCAAACAGTAGGCAGAGAGGGAGAAGAGGACAACAAACGAGGGGCTATGACAAACTGTTTCGTTGAAGTTTCACCATCTCATTAGAAAGCTATAAATATATACATATGAATACGATATATATATATACATATATGATATCTGTTTGTGACGATATATATATATATATATTATCATATATAGATATATATATAGTAAAACAGAGCTTCCCAGGTAAACGGTAGGCAGAGAGGGAGAAGAGTACAACAAAAGAGGGGTTGTGACAAACTGTTTTGTCGGAGTTTCACCGACTCATCAGGAGGCTGAATATATATAGATATAATATATATATATATATATATATATATATATACAGGGTTGTCAGGCAGAACGTACGGAGGCCCCTAAGCTGACTTCCAAACGTTCGGGCGTTCGGGTCCCCGTACGGGGCCCGAACTTGAAGGGGTTCGGACCCCGCAAAAACATATTTTGGCACCCAAATATTATTATTGTTTTCTGATTTTTTTTTTGTGAGTTCTTTGTCATGTAAGGTATCTCCCGCTTAATTTTGAAGTCATTCTGTTCAGCAAAAAAAAATGAAAAATCCTCAAATGTGGTGGTGTCAAAACTTGCTTGCCCACTCACAAATTTGTCTTTTCTCTCTTTTCACTTTTTGTTTTTCCTTTATTTTGGGGCATAAAACAATTTATTATTTTTTCAAGATTCTCTATTATGTAAGATACACGTATATAAATTTTCATGGCATTTGTCGCAGCCAAAAAAAAATGAAAAATCGCCAAAGATGGTGGTGTCAAAAACGTGCTCGCCCAGGGGGGCCGCGCGAGTGTGCGTTAACGCAGCGGCGTCAGTGGCGGTGGCGACGCCCGGTCGTCGTTAGTCGCGGCTGTGTAGGTGTGGCGTGTGAGCTTCGCATTTCTATCATTTCTATGGCGACAGTGCCCAGGCTGGCGTAGCCTAGTTCTTGAGTGGGTAGAGAGTGCCTCTGCACTCTTACGCCATGGCATCCTGGCAGCTCCTTATTGAACCTTCATACCAACCTACACACCTTACGAGACTTTGATACCGGAGGAGCCGTCTTCCCTTCAAGCCTTCTGCTGGAAAGGGGGGGCTCCTTTTTCATAACCTAAAGGTCGTGCGCTGCACTTCACAACACGCCAACTTGACTGCCCTGTTTACTAGGAAAGTATGGAAAGCGGAGCGGCGTAACTGGACGCAGTGGGA